GAGTGAAGCAAAAGAGGCTAAAACGACCATTGCTAACTAGGCTTGCGTCATATAGTCAATACGGCTCTGATACCAATTCTGTCACACCCGATTTTAACGATAAAATGGGATGCAAAATCTTATGTGCGTCCAGAAATCAGTCACACACATAAGCCGACAAATTATGAATAGTATCATCACAAGTGTTTATTACATCATGAATAATAAGACAGAGTCTTCACATAGATATAGCGGAAGTATAAAGAAAAGATCTCTCGCAGAAGCTCCATATCACAGGGACGTCGACTGGTTGACCACAAGTCTAGTATTCCTCAGGAAAATCGTCATTACCATAGCCATCTGTTACCCATCTGGGATTTTTATCCTAATAATGAAAATAAATAAGCATAAGTACATGTCGTACTCAACAAGTGTAACATGGGGTTCATGAGGCTCAAAAGGCTGACACAGGTTTAACAGCATTCAGCTTTTAGTTGTCACAATTTTTAGCAGATGAGTAGCAACAAGTTGTCTTAATTCCCAAAGTAAAACACATGATCAATGTAAACATGAATAATGAATAGCATAAACGGATATTACTTAGTGATCATCTATTCCATAAGGGTTCCAAGGTCGCTTATGACCGTGAGCACGGCTGATATACCAGTTTTACACTCTGCAGAGGTTGTACACTTTTACTATGAGTCGTGATACCCATATATTCGGGTTTATAACTACAAAAACACTTCCAAGGTGAGTAGGTAGGGGTCACTATGAAGCCTTTCAAAGGTTTGTCTAACAAGTTAGGGCCGTTAGGTTTCTGTGCCCTACGAATGTAGGGCTCCTCTTCCAACAGGCACAATGACACACAGCCTATACACTAACGGACAGAGGCTGCACTATATCCAACCCCAAACACACCCCTCTTATGCCATAAAGGTAACCTCTAACAAGCTAGAAAAGGTCCTCATACTGAGCTAAAGCCAGAGCCATGTAGCCCTTACAGCTGTACAATAAGTCCCGGATGATCACTTATAGATAAGTCGTTAGAGAGAGGAATCTGAAGCATTTAGAAAGTAGCTAAACACTCCAGCCCCTGTTTTCAAGTTGCTAAAAAGTCATATTTTAATGTTTATTGCATATACCATTAGTCAAGTTACAAGATCATGGTCCAGTTGAGCACTAGCAAAGCTACCCAATGCACATTACATAGGAAACAAGGTATAAGTTTAATTCTAGGGAATTCGTATCAAGGTGACACATGCAAATATGTATTAAATGCATTAAAGTTGATAGGAAACAAGGATAATCCCATATTATACTTGCCTTGATCAAAGTACTCCTACTGTTCCTGCTCGTCAAAGTAGAATTCTTGGTCACACACGAATTGCTCACCATCTATACTCGATAATCACAGCAACATACAAGCATCTAGAAGTAATCATGCATAGCAAATAAAAGCTATATATTATAACAGTACGCCAATCAACATAAAATCAAGATGAAAATTTTGTAAAACAAATCTATGACTCGCTACGAACACACGGACACGAAGATCACAAAAATCAGAGCTAAAACGAAGAAGTTATGATTTAAACAACATTTTCTTTAGTAAAATAATAGATTAAATCTAACCTTGAATTTTAAGAGTTGAAAACATACTTAGCAGTAGTATGAATATGTAGATTACTTAATTACGAACCTAACGCAACTTGAACGGATCAAATCGGAGTTAAAACGGAGATTTTGTGGCTAAAACAAGATTAACAGCAAAATTGTAAATATGTGAAAACGTATTTTGCATCTAAACCGAAGAAACTACGCTTTCTAGAGAAGAAAATGTACTCTGGAAAAGTGCTATGGACTGCGGGTTAAGTTATTCAAAAACCCAAGGGGCTCTTTTGAAAAAGACAGGAACGGCGGGTTAAGATCCAATTAATTGTAAGGGCCTTTTTGCAAAAACGCCAGTGAAGGGGTATGTTCTAATCCTGGCCCTTGATCTGGATTTGGACGGCCGGAATTGAATCGGGCGGGAAAGAAAGAGCTGACCGGCTAGAACAGGGCCGACGGCGAGCTACACGGCGGCACCATGGCCGGAGCAGGTGGTGCTTGTCGAATTCGGTCAACAGACCACCATTAAACGAAGCAAGAGCACGGGGAGAAAGAGAGGACAACGGCGGACTCACCAGGACCGAGAACAAGTGCGGAGGACCGACGACACCGTGCGACAGCTGCTCGGATGCGACGGCAGCGGCGGACTTCTCCTCGGCGACTCGGACAACGGCACTAGGGTACAGGCGGCTGCGGCTCTAGAGCTCGGAATTAGAAGGCACGGGCGCGGGCATCCGGTTTTTATGAGGCGGGGCGGCTTGGGGCACATGGCACGGAGGGCAGCGTGGGCGGCGCGGAGTCGGGTGGCGGCGGTGGAGTCCGAACCGGACACGCGCGGGAGGAAGATGACCCTGACAAGTGGGGCCCGGCTGTCAGCGGGAGGAAGGAGAGAAGAGACACGCGGCGCGGGCGCGCTGCTCAGCTGGGCTGGGCCGAGCAAAGCTGGGCCGCGGGGGAGGTAAGCAGGCCGCGCGGAAAGCGAAGGGGAGTGGGGCGGCTGGCTACGGAACTAGGCTGGCGGGAAAAACGGGCCGCGCAGGAGCTAGGCCAGTAGGCCGAATAGAGGGGAGGGGAAGAAAATCATTTTCCTTTTTCTTTTCTAATTTTCAAACCAAATTTTGAAATGCAAATTCAAATCAATTTGAAGTTTGATTTCAAACCACACCATTCAAAAATAATATGCAGCAGCATGAATGAATGTACATACATGTTTGTGGACCTATATTTGATTTTAATTTTATAAAGTTATTATTTTTCCTAAATTTAATGTCACAAAAATGCATAATTAAATCACTTCCTCCTATTTTAAAATTATGCAAATTTTATGGTGTTACGATTCTACCCCCTTAAAATAAATCTCATCCTCGAGATTCGGACGATGCTTACTCAAAAAGCTGCGGGTTGATCTACCCCACAAGTGTGAGGCAAGGCATATGATTGCGAGAGGTTGTAAGCACTATCTTGCCTTACTTTTCAACCAGGCGAAGCCTATGACAAAACACAATCAGAAGCTTAAAGCATCAGTTTCGGTCATACACTACACTGCTCAATTTCATCTCAAGTGCAGAGACAGAGGTCTTCTTCATCTGCCAGTTGATCTACCCCACAGTCAGGACTTCCCAATCCTTCAATATACAGATGATACTTTGATTTTCATGCAGGGGGATACAAGACAGCTTTTCTTTCTAAAAGCTCTTCTCCAAAGTTTTGCAGAATCTACTGGATTGAAGGTAAATTACTCCAAGTCTATGATGATACTAGTTAATGTTCTGGAGGATAGATTTGAGATCTTAGCACAAACTTTTGGATGCTCAAAGGGCTCTCTACCTTTTATTTACCTTGGATTACCACTCAGCCTATACAAACCCTCAGTTGCTGATTTTTGGCCTCTAGTCAATAGATGTGAAAGACGTTTAGTAAGCACCTCTAGTTTCTTGAGTGAAGCTGGCAGATTGCAGCTTGTCAATGCTGTTTTTAGTGCCTTGCCAACTTTTGCCATGTGCATTTTCTTACTTCCAAAAACTTTCTTTGGCGTGGTTCAGACATCAATAGCAGAAAGGTACCTAAAGCTGCATGGAAATTGGTATGTGATACTAAAGATAATGGAGGCCTAGGAGTGTTAAACCTTCGGACTCACAATGAATGTCTTCTCCTCAAGAACTTGCATAAATTCTATAATAAAGCTGACTTGCCTTGGGTACACCTTATCTGGAATCAGTATTATCAACAGGATAGGCTTCCAATCACTGTTTCTAGAAGAGGCTCATTTTGGTGGAGAGATTCTTATATTTGTTGGAAACTTACAAACGCATGGCCTCCTCAATTGTTAGAAATGGTCATTCTTCATTCTTTGCTCTGGTTAGATGTTTGGGATAATCACTTTCTTTCAGTGCAATGGCCTCACCTGTTTTCTTTTGCCAGAAACAAGTATATAACAGTGTACCAATCTTTTCATAACTTTTCAGCCCAAGAGCAGCCCAAGAGCTTTTCCATCTTCCTTTGTCTGAAGAAGCTTTCCTAACCTCTTTGCTGAACTGCATTTACAAGAGGAACCTGATATTTGGACTTATATATGGGGATCCACAGTTTTCACCCCAAGCAAGGCATATAGTAAGCTCATTGGAACCAGACAAGTGCATCCAGCTTAATTATAAATGGTTATGGAAATCATCCAGTCAAAACAAAAGAAAGATCTTTTTTCTGGTTGTGGCTCAAGAACCGTCTGAACACTAGGGCTCTACTAAAAAGGAAGAATATGGTACTGGAGATTTATGATTGTGAACTGTGTAACCATCAGATTGAGGAAACTATGGAGCATCTCTTCCTTCTCTGTCCTTTTGCAGAAGCATGTTGGGTTACTCTTGGTCTCATTGTTCCACATTCTGGGGACTGCTTTGCTTTTCTAGATCATGCCAAAGCAATGCTGCATGTGCCTTTCTTTATGGAAATCATAGTCACCATGGCCTGGTCAATTTGGGAAGTCAGGAATGATGCAATTTTCAGGAATATTGCACCCTCAATAGCAAGTTGTAAGAGGATCTTTAAAAGAGAATTTGCTTGGATTATTGTTTGAGCAAAAGCGAGTTATCATCCTTTGATTGTTCAATGGCTAGAGGCTTATGTGTAATTTGTATGATCTTTTTTATCTCCTTTTTTTGTTTCATGATTTGACACTGTAAAACTTTTGTTCTTATTTTAATAAAAGACCAGTAGGGGCATCCTCCTGTTTCACTCAAAAAAAATTGATTGTGACCCACTAAGGGCTTATTGGCAAATTAGCAATCCCTTAATTTCAGTTTGGGAAACCTTCACTCTATAACAGAAAAGTGAATGTTCACCAAATATATTCTAATTTAATTCACGTTGCAGACAGAGAACATATCAACGTGCTCATTCTTCATAAGCAATGACTAATCGATCACTGCTGGGCGCTGGATGGCACTCGGCTTCATTGCGACCATCTTGATGTAATCCTTCCTGACCTTCTTTAGTGTCACCACCACATCCTTCATTGTCATTCTTTGCTCCGGCGAGTCAGCTGAGCAGAGCAAACCCAGCTCCATCACTGCCACAAGAAAGCCATTCAGGCTGCTGGTAGCAGAAGCATCATCAAGTAGAATACGACCATCCACGACCTGGACAAGCCCTTCAGGAAATGCCTGATGGACCCAATGCCTGAGGCTCAGTTCACCAACAAACATAGCATCTGTGGGTCTCTTCCCAGTAAAGACTTCAAGGAGCATGATCCCATAGCTAAACACGTCGCTCTTCCGTGAAGCTTTTCCAACAGAGCCATACTCTATCCATGAAATTCATACACACAAAAGATAAATAAAAAAGATGGAACAATAGCATCACTTATATGCCACATGATTAAATAGTGAGACAACTTAATGCTGGATGGTTATTGATTAATCAACTGGATTCAACAGCTGTGGAAGAGGTACTGAGTATTTTCCATATGTTTGAGAATTGGGTTTGACAGACCCTCAGAGTAGTATTTTCCTTCTATATTTGGGAATTGGCCAATAGGAATTGATGTAGGTGAGTAAAAAACATTTTTTGCTTGATACTACTTCTCTGTTGAGTTTTATGGTTAAAATGAAATGGCATTATCATCCCTTGCAGGTCTTCATGGGCTTCAATTGGTTGCATTTTTTGTTCTTACTTCGATGCAGGGAATGGCATCCTAACTATTGGATCAATTCATATGTTAGAGAAGGCTATCATATAGGTGTTTGCCTCACATGGATGGAGATTTAACAATAGGATCTGTGCAAGCTGGAAGTTTATGTTTATCTTACTTGGCTATGTTATTGTTTCTACTAATTGGGCATTTAGTCCACTTAATATAGAAATTAGGTAACTAGTCCCTTTGACGCAGAAGCCACAATGAAATTCCACATGTAAAAGGAGTAAAATAGGTACTGGCGTACCTGGTGCCATGTATCCAATTGTTCCAGGCATGTTTGCGGAGATCATGGAATTTTCATCACCAAGCAAAATCCTTGCAATGCCAAAATCCGCCACATGCGCAGTCATGTCCTCATCAAATAGCACGTTGCTAGGCTTCAAGTCGCAGTGTAGGACCACCTCGCAATGCTCATGGTGTAGATACTCCATTGCCATCGACACATGTAGCATGATGTCTAGCCTCTCTATGAACTGCAATTGTATTCTTCCGTTAGAGTGTAAGAGCTCCTCTAAGCTCCCATTGGGCATGTACTCAAGCACCAGTGCTCTGAAGTCTAGATTGGAGCAGGTGTTCAATATCTTTATCAGGTTGCGATGTCGAGCCATTCGAAGCACACAACACTCTGCATCAAACCTTGCAATAGCTTGTTCCATATGCATGTGTATAACTTTTATGGCAACCACCAGACCATTGCTCAGCTGGCCCTTAAAAACTTTCCCAAAGCTTCCAGACCCCAACATGTTAGCATCACTGAAATTTTCGGTAGCACGAGCGAGTTCATGGTAGGAGACTAATTGATGATTAACCATGTCAACCATACCAGCAGAATTCCCTTGACGCTTCTTAACTTTCTTAAGCATTACACATAGGCAGAAAGCTACAGCTCCAACAGATATGATGATTGTGGGGAGTAAATATTTTAGAATGTGAGCATAGCCCCGATGAGTAAATGTTTTGCTTGGGCATGGAGAAAACCCTAAGCGTAAAGCGCCACATAGCCCTGGGTTCCCTCCAAGGATCGCCGCGTGATATTTGAGAAGACACCTCCTTCTGGTATGTGACCTTGAAGCTTATTGAAGGACAAATTCAAACTAGTGAGTATGGTAAAGTTAGCCAGGTACTTTGGGATGGCTCCGGAGATATTGTTATGGGACAGGTCCAAAGTTTGCAAGCTTGTCAGCTTCTCAAAAGAGGGTGGGATCGGGTCATGAAACGAATTGAGTGATAGGTTCAGGTAGCTCATCATCTGAAGCTGCCCAAGTGAATCTGGCAGGCTACCAACTAAGTGGTTGGTAGACAAATCCATCATGTTCATTTGCTTCAAACTTATATTAATTGGTAATGCACCACTTAACAAGTTTTGAGACAGATCTATTCCGAGGAGCCTATCAAGACGAAACAAGCTCGGTGGTATGGTAGATGTGAACTGGTTATCACATAATATTAGGATCTCTAGTTTGGTGAGATTACCGATGCCGCTAGGAATGGAGCCAGAAAATTGGTTGCTGTCAAGGTATATGATTTCAACATTCTTCAGGATTGCAGCATTCGAGGGAATGGTGCCAGACAGCCTATTTCCACTGAGATCAAGCCACTGGATACTGTCCATCATCATGATTGGTTCTGGAACTGGGTTCTGAAGCTGGTTTCTTGCGAGATCTAGAATCTCAAGACCAGTCAAGTTAGAAACCGTAGCCGGAAGACCACCAGCAATCATGTTGTCGGATGCATCGAAAACTTGCAGATAGCTTGAAAGGTTCCCAACGTGGTCCGGGACGAGGGTCCCGGTGAAATGATTCGTGTGGAATTGAAGTGCTGAAAGCATACTACATTTTGAAAGAACAGACAGGAATTTGAGATCCCCTTGCAGGTGGTTTTCTGCGAGTAGAAGTTCCGTCAGCGAGTTCATGTCACCGATCGTCATAGGCAACGGTCCATCCAACATGTTTTGTTCCAGTTCCAGGTAAATCATGTTAGACAGGTTACCGAGAGAAGCAGGAACAGGTCCAGTCAGTAGGTTGCTGTAAAGATTCAACACTGAAAGTTGGCGTAGCTGCCCAAGCTCTGGTGGAATGGGTCCTGTAAGGTTACATGATTGGAGGTCTAGCAGACGTAGCATGGTGAGGTTGCTGAGTGCAGCTGGGATTGGAGCTGCGTCGAAGTGATTCTCATACAGGCTGATGACTTGGACAGCCGTCAGCTCGCCGAGCCATGCAGGGACGACGCCCTGAAACGAATTCACGGACAGGTAGAGGCTTTGGAGGCGCCGGCAAGCTGCAAACCCGGATGGAATTAGGCCGCTGAATCGATTTTGATGGACTGAAAAGAACTCCACAGCAGGGAGGCTGAAACTCGTGTTGCCCGGTCCCGATATGGCCCCGGACAATCCATTGGTGGCCAGGCTTAGAACACGCAAGGCAGACATGTTGAAGACGCCCGGTGGCACCGGCCCGGAGAGATTGTTCACCTGCAAGCTGAGGTATTGCAGCAGTGGCAACGAGCCGATGCAACGTGGTATCGGCCCTGAAAGGCTGTTGTTGCCCATGTCGAGGTGAGTCAGCAGGGGAGTGTTGTTGAACAAGTCGTTCGGTATGGAGCCAGTGAGGTAGTTTCTCTGGACGTTCATGGCGCGGAGCTCACGCAGGCGCCGGAGCTCCGGTGGGATCGGGCCGGAGAGGTGGTTGAACTGGAGGTGAACGAGCTGGAGCATGGTGAGGTTGCCTATGGCGGCCGGGACGCCACCGGACAGGGCGTTGTGGCCGAGATCGAGGAGCTTGAGGCGACGCAGCCTGCCGATCTCGCCTGGGATTGCGCCGGCGAGGCTGGCGTTGGTGAGGTTGAGCACGGAGAGGAAAGAGAGGTTACCGAGGTGCGGGCTGAGCGCTCCATGGAGAGGGACGTCTGCCAGCTCGATGGCAGCCACGCGCTGCCTCTGGCGACCACCGCAGGATACGCCCACCCATTTGCAGAACGACGTGGTGGCGGTCCAGTTGCCGCCGAGGATGCCGGCAGGGTCGGAGAGCTGCGCCTTGAAAGCCAGCAGCGCAGCGAGGTCAGTGCTGCTGCCGTTTCGCTTGCTCGGGCGGCCTGAACGTGAAGAAGCTGCAGCGATGGTTGTGGAGGTGGAGATGATCAGCAACAACAATATGGATATGGAAATTGGAAAACTAAGTGATGCCATGTTTGGGGTGTGGTGTAGTGTGGTGTAGTGCATTGACAGCAAGAGTTTGCAAGCAATCCGAGTTTTTAAGTAACATAACATCCAAGGCCTTCACCACTGGTCAACCTAAGTTGTCGCAAGCGCAGCAAACACGGAGTTTGGACTAACAAGTGGCAAGTTCCATGTTTGATAGTGGAATGGCACTATGGAGAATTGGAGATATTGGAGAATAAAGTTCTCACGTCATTTCAGAAGGAAATGAAGTCCTCACACCTCTCACTGAAACTGAAAGTCTGATCAAACCCTATTCGATCAACAGTTTGTACCCATCGTGCACTAGATGCTAGTATGTGGAAATTAAAGTTGGCATTTGGGAAGTGGTGGATATGATTGAAATTTGGAAGTTGTATTAGTACTTTCTGAAAAGGGGTTTTCAGTCAACCGACTTTGAGGCGTCCTAGATACGCACATCTTGTTCAGCTGTACCATTTTCCAAAAATTTCTATATACTCTCTCAATTCCAAATTATAAGATGTTATGTATCTCGACATAGTGTATATTTAAGTATATAGAAAAAACTACATATCTAGAAAGTCAAAATGTCTTATAATTTATAACGGAGATAGTATAATGTAGTAATAAGAAGATGAGACGACACATCAATGCTTTCGCACTCCTGATCTAATCGACTAAAATCCCGCAAGTGGGATATGCCTCATGGACCAAAATTGCCGCTTTGGCATGGCACTGTGCACGGAATCGATAAAAGCATGGCCTGATAAGGCCAGGCCCGACATGGCATGTCGGGCTGTTGGGCCATGCCAAAGAGGACTTCGTGCCTGGCCATTAGCCCAGGCATAGCACACCTAGCTGATTTTTTTTGCGCCAGGCTGGCCCAATAAGCATGGTCTGTAGAGCAGGTCGGGCCAGCCCGAGGCCCACGTTTCCGCGCTTCCATGGCCCCGCCGCCGCACCGCGAAACCAAGGGAGGTGCTCGAGGCAGGTGCTAGGAGAGGCAGCCAGTAGGATAGGGGGAAGAGGCAGTCGGCGTGTTCAAGGTCGGCCCCTTCGTGGCCGGTGTAGTGTCGCGCTCGCTCCCATGCTCGGGCGCTCGAGGCTGGCCTTTGCAGCCACGAGGCAGGGGTAGGGAGAGGCAGCGGTAGTAGGGCGGAGGAGGCAGAGACAACCCGAGCGAGGTGGCGAGGGGAGTTGGGCGATGCACGTCGCCCCCACTCGTCAAATCTACATCTCGGTCGGTGGGAACTTGACTCACGAGTGGGAGGTGATGCGGATGGGAATCGGAAAATGGTCAAGTGGGTGAATGGGGACCGGTTAGGGTTGGGAGTTAAGGTGTTAGGCTGTAGGGATGTTGGCCTATTAGGCTATTAGCGGGCCTAGTACCAGACCGAGGCTATTTAACCGTTCGTGCCATACCGCTCGTTGTGCCTAGGAAGCAGTCCAAGCATAGCCCTAGCTAGTGGACAGGGTTGTTCTGGGCCCGCACACCATCGGGTCGTGTCATGCTCATGCCAGGCCAAAAAAAAAAAGTGAGCTTCGATCTTGGCTGTCAGGCCGTGGGCTTTATGTACATCTATATACTGGTATGAACCTGCATACTGCGGTGATGAATAAATTTGAAAGTTTATTATGATCCTGAAATTCACTCAAACTCTAAAACTTATAACAACAATTGGTCACTAAAAACTAGCGCAAAGCCATGAAGCGTCTATTGTTATTTCAGAAAGTCCACGGACCACAGTTGCGGGGCCGGAAGCGGCTATCCTTTACCGCACGCGTGTTGGCGGCGACGTTGCGCAACGGCGGACACCCCGCGCGGAGCGGCGGAGGCAGTGATGATACTCCGCCACGTCGTGGGAGAGCGGCCGGCCGGCGATGTCCTCGTGGCGCTCGGCCCCTCAGAGTCTTAGACAGGTGGCCCTGTGGGTGCTGCCGTGCCGAATGAATTTCAGCGATGCAGATGCGGTTGCGGTCAAAGAAAGCTCCACGGGAAATGGGCTCTCTTCTGTTGTCCAGCGGGTTTAGGTTTTATTATCTTGGCCTGGAAATGGGCGGAAGGACATGTGAGCCCAATTGGTCCACAAACGAACAATCGATGTGTATTGGGCTCCGACAAAAAAGAAATGTGTACTGAGCATCTCAGCTATCATGAGTTCATGACGACTCTAGGTAGGTAAAGATAACGGAGTTACTATCGCCTGGCCGTTCGGAGCCGCTGCGAATATCGGACGCCTCCCGGTCCTTCACGTTCGTTTTGAGGACTGAACGACGGATGGTGGGCCCCAATAAATTATTGTCTGATTGTCTCTGTTCTAGTAGACCAGTACGCATCACCGACTTTTTTTTATATAATTTAGTCATTTTCATCAAAATTTCACATTTATACACTGGGCGTCAAAAAACCATCTTTAGACCCTGAACTCGGCTCTGTGATCTACGGCACCGAGGCAACACATCTCGACGCCATAGGTTGCCGCGCCAAGGTAGGAGGTCATGGTTGGCGTGGCTGGCGACGTTGGCGCTGACGTGGCCAGAGGTCGGTGTCATGATTCACGGTGCTGACCTCGGCGCCGTGAATCGTGGCGCCGACCTCTAAATTGAACCCTAACCATAAATTATCATGACTTGGACATATAAAATTTGGTTGCATTTTTGCTATGAGATGACATATAGAACATGTTGAAATTTGGCTAAAGTCTGTGATTTTACTGTGACTCGGATATGTTAGAAGTTGCTACAAGGTGATGACAATTCCATGATCTCTGCGAGCATATGCCTTAACAATTGGGTACATGGCACCAGGTACTACCTAGTACCTCTTCTACCTTTTTTTTACATAATAATGGGATTTAAACGGCTGCGGCATTCAAAAGTGCATAAAACCAGTGTCGCAATAACTTATAAAATTGCCATATTAAGTGGACTAAATGCTCAATAGAAGCAATAACATAGCCAATTAAGAGAAACAAAAAATTTCAGCTTGCATGCCACTCTTCTAAGTTCTAACCAGATTATTCCATTTAAATAGTTTATCCTTCACTTGTGCTTGGCAGAAGAAATATTAATAGGTGTAGTGCTAAACACTTTAGTAGGTGTTATGTATTTCTTTTCGTTAATGTTATATTAATAGGTGTTAGCGCTGAACACTTTAGTAGGTGTTATGTATTTATACACAACAATGCTGAACACTTTAACACTTTAGTAGGTGTTATGGCTGCAAGCATGTATTGACATATTGACCCAAGAGGCCAGCATTTGTATATAATACATACTAGTCCATCACGCGTGCCCTCGCACGCGCCGACAAATCACCTGGTTAAAGTCGTCTCATTCATCAAATTCAAATGAATGAAATAAGATAACGCACCTTGCTCGAAAACCAATACTCTACATCATACTGCAACACATGCTTCAGCTTTTGTTTATGTTGTGCTTCCTTCGATCCGTCCTGAAAACAATACAATACAATTCCGGAAGCTAAGGTCTTGTTTAGTTGGGTGAAAGTTGGGAATTTGGCTACCGTAGCACTTTCGTTTTTATTTGGCAATTAGTGTTCAATCAAGGACTAATTAGGCTCAAAACGTTCGTCTCACGATTTCCAACCAAACTGTACAATTGGTTTTTTTTCGTCTACATTTAATGCTCCATGCATGTATCGCAAGATTCGATATAATGGCTACTGTAGCACTTTTTGGGAAAAGTTTTTGGAACTAAACGCGGCCTAAATCATCTTGAGTTTGACTATTGTTTTAATAAAATATTAATACTTATGATAGCAAAGATGTACCATTAAATTTATGGTGAGATATATTTTCATGCTATACCTATTTTATGTTACAAAGTTTAACTAGCGATGAAGCTAGAATTACATCCTTTTATGGACCAAGGTGGTAGTATCTGACAGAGCATCTCCAAGAAATTAGCCAAAAAGAGACTCTACCGCTTGCACCATGCCCGCACCAGACAAAGTAAAACCAAGCCGATAATAAAACATAATATTGATGTATGGAACAAATTTGGTTCACAGAACATTTCTAACTCAATCTCTTGTTGTAGGTAAGAAGGATCATCAGCATAAAAATAACTGCATATATGAATTATAGATGGCATATGGGAAGCTAAAGCGAAATCACCGAAATAATGTATTAATTTGTGTTTGGCTATTTTCAGATGAAAACTATCGCGGGTTCATAGCAAACAATTCAATTTGTGTTTTGCTATGAACCCGCGATCATTTTAATTTAAAAATAGCCAAACACAATTTAATACATTAAGATTTTTAAGACAGCATTACAGGAACTTCATCGAGTGATTTATGGCTACAAAAATTCTGTAAGCAATTTTCGGACTACATCTTACATGTCCTCTAGATGGAGGGGCACAAATTTGCAAACCATTGCAAATCCAAAAATTCAGTGGCTATCTAGAAGCTGTGAGGCAACACAAACCTGTGACAACCGAGAAGAAGTGGCATGCAACCTTTGAACAAGCAGAATAGCATGGCATCCACGTTACTGCCATTTCTGCACAACAGGAATCCATGTGCCACTAAACGAAGCTAAGAAAGTAAGCAAACTAAACACTTGGCTGTAATCCCTCATCCACCTCCGGTAACAAATCCGAAGAAATCAATCTTTAAATCTAGGAAACCAAACACTGTAGCTGAAGCACAAATAGAGTAGGAGAAGTGCCCATAGCCATCCATACCTGGTGGCTGGGCTTCTGTGGAGCAGGAGAGAGGCGAGGAGGGGGTGACCCGTCGCCGCCGCGGAACCCCGGGTGGAGGGGTGAGGCACCGCTAGATCTGCCGCCGAGCTGAGCCATCGGCGCCACCACCGGAGAGGAAGACGCGATGCGTAGCCGGGGTCGTCGAGCACAGGTACCTTGGGTCTGATGGAGCAGAGGAGCAGACGCAGAGCGGTGGGAGGAGGCCGCGTCGGGGGGCATCCGGGCCGGCGGCCAACGGCGGGGCACGCACGCGCCGTGCCATGTTTGGGGACGGC